TTAAAAACAATTTAGTTGCTTTCAATGTTCTTGCGTTCATGACTCTTTTCCAGCTGTCTGTTGGCTATGTTTTCTCTTATCACTAGACGAAGTATTACCTCAATTTTGAATCAGAAATATGAGGCTCTCAATCGTCTAGTTTAAGTTACGGGCAGTCTTCCTAAAATTTAACAATGCTTCTGTGTTTTTATGTAGCTGCCTGTTACATGAACTCACCAAAGGGTTATGAGTGCTGATTGAAAAAAGATCCTACCGATCCTTTTAGATTCTTGTGAGATATAAATGCTTTAATATTCGTTTCGTGATTTCTAATGATACATGAAAATGTTTGAAGCTTCAAGATAATCCCGTTTTGAAAAAATTCTGGGTAGAGTGCAAACTGCAGTGGAAAGCAAATATGAGAATTCCAATCTCAGATATAGAAACATAGAGTTTTTATTTACTTGATTTTCTGCTGTTCCAACTTAAACAGTTATTGTGCAGCTGAATAAAATTTTCGTGTTTCGAGATGAGTAACTTCCTAATTAATTTTTGGGGAGCTTGATATTTTGTTAGAATTAAAATCTCATTCCCGCAAGCATATATTTTTTTCGGAGTATGTTAATTGATTAAAATCTATGAGTGTGCTCAGAAATTTTTTTTCTTTATGAAAATATACTTTTTACTGATGGTTCAGAACCAAAAAAAGAAGTTTTTTTTGTATTTTTTGCATGATACGGGAAAAAGTTCGTGCTGATAGCGTATTGGATTTTTCGTGTTTCTTGATTTGTTTGCCTTTATGTTGGTGAAAGTGTGATTTTTAACAGCGGATTTAAGGGAGGTGGGGCGGGGGGCGGACGCTACTTATCTCAGGGGTTCGACCCTTTGCCGACCCAAATAGTCCCCCCTTAGTACTATTTTTCAGATGTCCATTTTGGCTGACGGACCCTAAAATTTTTCTAAATGCGCTTTTTGCGCCAATATAAACTAATTTTGAGGGGGGAGCGCAAAATTTGGTCAAAATAGGGTTTTTTTAGTGATTTGGGAGAGCTGAGAAAATCAATTTGGTCGACCTAAAAAAATGGGTCGACAAACTTTTTTTTTTTGAAAATCAACCCCCCTCGAGAAAATCTTAGATCCGCCGCTGATTTTGGTGCACTCTTAAGTTGTGAATATAGTGTTTTGCCAAAATAATCCGCGATAAAAATTGTCGTATTTATCAAATGCAAAAAAAATTGGTATAAATGGATTAAAAAGTATTACTTTTTTGATTAAATTGTGAATCGAATCTTCAAATGCTCGTCACTGGTTAGAATAGAGAAGAAAAACGTCAGGACAATGGTAACAAAGACGACGCTTGAGGCCGGCCAATTGATTGGTTCTGAAAAAGATCCAGTTGCCTCTTGAGTTGAAGTTGAAGCCGAAAATGCTGCGCCATCTGCATAAAGTTTTGGCATAATGAATAGGTGCTATTTTTTCTGGAAATCAAATCACAAACCAACAATAAGACGATGTCACGATTCTGGTGTTTCCAAATGAACTGATTGAGTTGAGAGCGTGCGGTTGAGGTTAAGACTGAAATTAACGATGTTCGGAACGTTAATTAATAGAATAAGTTAACATTTTTAATCGAGATGAAGTTTGATCCGAAATTGCAAATTTGTTTCTTTAAGAGGGATAAATTTTGATCAGCAGCTTAAATGAGTTTTTTCACTGAAATTTAAAAGCGGTTTAGGTACACTTGGTTTGTTAGCAATATTTTTTGAATTTGTGAATGACTTTGGGAATAATTTAACATCATTGACCGCAAAGGTTTCAAATTTTGTATTTAAAGACCTTTGAACCAATTTGTTTGAAACAGACCCATGTATAATAGGCAAATCAAAGGCGCGCAAGTTATGTGTTTTATAAACTTTGTGCTTAATCGAGACTCATGTGAAAGTAAATACTGTTATCTAGTGTGTCTAAATACTGCTGCTGCTGATGAAGCGAAAGCAACTTTCTCTTCTAGTATCTTGCTTGGCCTTCAACCTGAAGCAGAAGTAGTTTTGCTTAAAGTGAGTCGAAACCGATCAAATGTTCTATAATTTTGTTCTCTTTTTTTAAAAGCGAAGACCGCTGTCGGTTTGCCTCCAAAGTTGGACGAGACTAATTGACCAACCAAATGACCAAATTCGTGTTTTTCTCGAAGCAATCAGAAGCAATACTTATTTCCATGCCTGAAATAAATACAGCAAACCAGGGCCTCAAAGGATTCTGCTAGCAGCAGAATTAGCAGAGCTCGGCCTATAGAGCAGAGTAATTTATTGAGCAGTATATATAGCAGAATTAAAATCATAAGGCAGAATTTACCCATTTTTTTCCAGGAATCTTCTTAATAAATATTTATCATTACCAAATCGACAATTAACTGGGCAAAAATGGTTTATCTGCGAGAAACTATCGTTTTTCTTAAGCCTATTAGTGTTCTACAAATTGTGTCTCCGTTTTCTTTTTTGGTTTATTGGGCGTTAGGAATTTGCACGTTGTGAAGGGATAAAAGTCAACCTTTTTAAACTCATTTGTTTCCGTTTTTTTTGTGCTGCTTTTTTGTGCGAGACTTTTTGAGGCTTATCTAAATTATCTTAAAACACAGGATTAAAGCGTGAATGAGCGTGGTGTCTCAAGCAGAAATGTTTGGTCACAATAACTGTGATTTTTCAAAAAAAAACAACCTTGCTGATTAAAAATTGAGAACAACGAAAAGTTTCAAAAACGTTTTGTTTGAGTTTTGGTCGATATCGATGAAAGTCTGAGTTAGGAAATCAGAACCACGTTTTCTTAGAAAATTAGAGTTCAAACCTAAAGTCTAAATCAATAATAAGTATTGGCTCACAATAAACAACAAGATTGATGCCATGTTTCCTAGTTTATTGCCAAAAAAATTATTCTGTAAAATCGAAATATTCAGAGCCGTTTTTCCGAAGGAAATTCCAAATCAAGACTGAAGGATGTAATATGACATTAAGCTGTAAAATAATATAAAAATCTATTGTTTTCAGACTAACAAATAATTTTGATTGTTACGAACCGCAATTCCAACCATTAAGTTTTAGTTTGCGAGATATCCATGAGATCTTCTGGTCCGTTTTCAGACTTCTCTGAGCAGAAAAGTTTTTTGTTTTCTGAATTTCCTAACTGACATTTTCATCAGTATTGCTAAAATTCAAAGAAACTCAAAACGGTACGAGCTTTTCTACGAAGGAAAGACAAAGAGAGAAAACACCAAGATTAATCTGTTGACATGTTATAAATAGTTTCCTTGCTGTTTAATTTGCTCAGTAGATTTTTTAAATTCAAAATGAAGTTGTCTAAGAAAAGGTAGTTCTTTCTTGTTAAGGCTATTTTGGAATCTTTATGGGTAAACTCATACCAGCTTAGTCCATAATTAAAGACGCAATTGATCAGTTTTCTTGTTCTTAAATGCGGCGAATTTTTTGTATTGTAGTTTGCAGCGGGTTGTTGAATTTTTCAAAAATAATCCTTGTTTTGATGTTTCACTTAGGTCATAATCATTCAGTACGTGGCGTAAGGTTACGACTGGGAACTTCTGAAATTAATTTAAATGAAATTTTCAAAAAGCGAGACTTCTATTTGTTTCGGCTCACTGGTTTTCATATCGGCTTTTAGTTTCTGCTCTGTTTTTCTTTAAAAGATGAAGACAAGTTAAGTTATCTTATAGATTCCATCTACGGTTGTAATCATTGCATATATAATGACTCTAAAGTTGGTTTTTTACTGCTGATTTTTGACTTTCTGTTTTTCGAATAAAGCTCTGTTGGTTGCATTTCGGAGTTGTGTTTATATCTTTTGTGACTGCATGTGATGACGCTGTCCGTATATGAAAAAGTTGCGTATTGACTCATAATAAGAACTAAATCGAATTGAATTTTTTTGTCATTTTCAATTTTGGTGCTTCTACTGTGACGGTTCTTTGGTTTTTTAAATAGATGAGAATAATCAACTGTCCATAGATGTCATACAAAAACGATGTTTTGCAAATATGTAGTTTTCGTAGTCAGTTATTTTTTTCTGTCTTTTGTCTGTCACAGATATTTGATTCATGGAAAATTTTGAAATACCTATTTGAAATATCTATTCGTCGTCAATTTCGACTTGAAATATTTAAATATGTTTTTATTTTATTTGTATTGTTTTGAATATTTTTGATAATGTTTGATATGAGCCTCCTAATTGATATCATTCGCATTCATTAGTAATTTTCAGCATTAATTACTTTTTTTAACGCTTGGGGAGGGTTTGTATAATAATGTCTTTTCGTAGGGTTTTTAGTTTAACGTTGTTTTTTGCATGTTTTAGTAGGAATTTCCCAGTAATAAAAATTGACCTTTGTTACACGAAGAATTGAGATTTTTTGTTACTTCATTTTTTGTTCATTTTAATAACATGATCTATACTAATTTCACTGCTGTGGTTTTTCGTTGAATTTGATAATTTCGATAATTTGAGATGCAACCAAAGAAGTTGCGAGTGGATAAATTTTCAAGTGAATTGGCGAAATTGAGATAAACTAAATTAAATGACGTTTTTTTTCATTTCATTTTCTTTTCACCCATCACGAAGGAAGTTGCATGGATCGTTTTTTACAATCAATATAATTTTTTCTGTATAATTAGCTTTGCGAAGCTCCGCTTGACCACTGTGTAAATCTATGATCTATTTTCTTTTTCTTTAAATTGAATGTAGTAACACTCTTTTTTTTAAAATTCGACGTTTGCTCCAGTATGTTTTTTTTCTGATTTATTATGGCTGAAAAAATTGACTTGTGAACGTTTTGACCCCAAAAGGACTGATTTGTTTTTGTTTTATGCATGCAGTAGTTTATTTCATTGCAAGTTCAGTTGGATAACTTTGATACGTACTATAATCAATTAATCAAATAACTTTAAGAAATAATTCTGGGAGAGTGTCTTATTAAGCAAGTTCATCTTTAGGGTACATTCAGATAAGGAAATTTCGGGTTCAAAGGTTTAAGTCCTTCTTTTCAAAGACACGCGCTATTTCTTTTCATATAGTCTTCTTAATCTTCGAGGTAAGCCTTTTAATTTGCTTTTATTACTGTCTGATGGAAATTTAGAAATCGGACGCTTTAAATTGCGTTTTCTTTGTTCGAACTGCCCTAATATTTTTTAAGAAAAGTTTTCGGAATTTTAATAAATAATTACACGAAAACTTTGAAGAAGGAATGTTCTGAGTTACTTGCACATCATATGACATCTCTTGTATCTAAGCAGGGAATCACTTTGGGGTGTTTTTCGTATTTGTTTAATTTTTTCTTGTTGTCTCTCATTTCTTAGTCTCACAGTCGGAGACTATAATTAGCTTGTTTGTTTTTTTTGTCGAAATTACTACAACTTCTAACTATTTTGTTTCTTTTTTTAACCTAGGGAACGATCCATGCCAAAAAATTCGCCCTAATTCTCGGCGCTGTTTTACGAAACTCATTTGTAGAAAGAAGAAATTGAAGTTTAGCTTATCACTTAGTTGTCTATCAATTTTAAATTAAGGCGAACCAAAAACGCCATTTTTGTAGGAAAAATTTCTCCTTATACTGCTTGGAGCGGAGTTTTTGAAAAAAAATAATTTACTCACCATTGGCCTGTACTCAGGGGTGGATCTAGAATTTTCTGGAGGGCAGGGGGTAAAAAAGCTTTGTGGACCTTTTTTTAAGCCGACGAAATTGATTTTACGAGGGCTCCCAGAGCACTACAAAAACCCTATTTTGACAAAAAAATTTGCACCCCAGGCAAATTTTTAAAAAAAGTGTAACAAATGCCTTTTTGGGCACTTTTTGGAAGGTTTTGACCAAAAAATTGCGTTTTTGGCGCGCCTTTAGTATTTGAGATCTTTGACGCCGATATTAACTAAGTTTGAGGGGAGAGCGCGCGCCGAAAAAACGCGATTTTTTTTGTAAAACATTTCAATAAAGTGCCTAGAAAGCCTAAAAACGCCATTTTCTGCCTGTTTTTTAAAATTTTTCGTGAGGCGCAGAAAATGTGGCCAAAACAGTGTCTTAAATGTGGCCAAAACAGTGTCTTTTAAGTGCTTTGGAAGAGCTCGGGTTTTGATCGACCTAAAACAAAAGGTCGACAAAACTTTTGAAAATCTGCACCCCCCCCCCCCTCGAGAAAATTCTAGATCCACCCCTGATTAAAAGAATAAAAATTACATGATTTTTTTTAGAAAAATAAAATTTTGTGACGTGAAGGTTTTGCTTCAAGCTTTTATTCAGCCCTAATGATTTTGGTCGAAGTTCTATCGGCCTTCCAAACTAATTTTGCGTTTCAAACTTGTTTCTCACCTAATATTGCTTTATTTGAAATAAAAGTGGAGTTTTATCTTTTTGTTTTAATTGCCGACTACTCATACACTTTCGTTTTAGTTGCCTCTCTATATGATTTCTTTTGACTTTCAAAAACTCTCGGGTCAATTGCTCAGTTGTACAAAAAGATATTTGAGCCCCGAAACAGCGTTAAATAAGTGTCCAGAAAAAAATTAAAGCGTTCCAAAAGGCCTGTTAGCAAACATTGTTTAATAGATCAAAATAATATGGTTAACCTTGCGATAAGCAAGAGTATTGCAATCGTACTAGATTTTTTCCCGTAAATAACTTTGTTCACAGAATGGTCAAATTTGTAGGAATGGTAAATTTGAGGACATGCTCACTTTCTTGAAAATTCAAATAAAACTACCTCAATTTGATAGTTAATAAGGGGAGTACATAGGTTCAGTTAATGTTTTTTCAATTACATTTGAAAAAATAATTATTTTTTTCGGATTTGTGGTTTTGGCCGAGTTTCCGTTGGTGCAATTTCTTTTTTTTAATCATCATTTAAGTTTTATCAGGTACTACTTTTTATCGGCCTACTTTGTGAAGCGTGGATTTTATTTGGATACAAAATTTTGTTTACTATAAAGTTTCTGTAATTTGTCATTTTACCAAGTCTGATTTTGAACAATTTTGTTTTGTACTTTTTTTTTCGTTTTAATGGTTTCAGCTAATGCTGTATGAGATAAGTCAATTTATATTGCATTTTCTTGACGGTCAAAATTTTGTGTTCAAAAAGTCAGATGTTTTGAAAATGCAAGGGATAGGGTTTTTTAATTTTGCTTTTTTTGAGAAGCTTCCGAAAGTTTTTTTCACTCTTTGCAAAAATTTTAGTTCGGTAAAAAACTACTCTGCCGAGTTTCAAAAAAGGCGTATCGTTTGAAAGATTGCTTACTCCCCTGTGTGCCTGCATAGTCTTTCTGGTCTCTTTTTACTTTATTCTACTGTCTACAGCCTTCAAAAAAGTCTCTGGGGGAATATTTGACCCATATTTTTGGATTTTTTTCATTTTCTCAAAATTTCTTCTGAATCTGAACTTCTATGTTCAATGATAAAATGTTCTGGGAATATTCCCTGCTTAAATGTCTACGCTCAAGTTGTTCTCCACTACGCCCATTGTTTTTTTATACGCAAAGTTATGACCCCTCGGAAAAGTCAATACTTGGTTTGTTGTACCATCTTTTGAAATAGTTTGACTTTTCGCGAAATCTAACCTCCCAAATCCTGTTCTTGCAATCAATCGGAACGACAAATTGTGTGAATGTTTCTGTTTAGCGACCATTTCCGTTTTTTACACCAAAAAGTGTGATACGTAGAAAGTTCAACTTTTTGCTTGTTTGACAGTTTTTGGGAAACTTTTTGGTTTTTCTCGAAAACCACCCTGCTAATTATTAGACTAAGTGTTCGGATTCAATCAAGAAACCCGGTTTTGGGAATCTTCTCTGCTTAAACGGCCACGACTTTCTCATTGCAGAAAAAGTGGTTGGTTTCGGAAAGTCAAGTTTTTGAATTTTTGACCGTTTTCTGAAACGTTATTAACCTATCGAATATGCGAATATGAGATGAAGGGCTCAATCGTAAGAACTAGTTGCAAGATTTTTTTCTACAGAAGCGGCAACTATTTCTTTTTTCTAAGAAAAGTTGTTTGTATTTACAAAGATTGCTTTTTCTTAAAAATTTCACTCATTTCACTTTTTTTAGTAGAGAAATAACCTAAATTTTTGGCAAACTCCAATTTTTCAAATTACCTATTTGATCTCGGCTTAGTATAACAAATTCTGAATATATAAATTTGCTACTTTTTGAGCTGGGCCTCTAGTTACCGTTTATCGAGAACTTCGAACATTTTGGTTCGCCTAGCTTTTTTTTTCAACATATTTCTTTTTTTTTGCGTTTGAGCGTTTAGTTCAGCAAATTTGAATTTAGGTTGCAAAACTTTCCTACAAAACTGAATACCTATTTTTTTTTGTTTCCCAAGTATGTCGTTTTTTTATTATAGAGGGGTGCGGTCGGCTCAGATCCTTTAAGTTTCCGAGATATGAAGTTTTTATGCTATTTTTTAATTTTTTTTTCAAAAGTTAGATTTAGAACACGTGACAAAGTTTGAAATTCCAAAACCTATAGTGGGGTTCCGTCAGGGTAATCCCAGGGTTTCAGATCTTGCCTCCAAATATACTGCTTAAATTTTCTATATATTTTTTAAAACAAAATAGCTTTATTAAAAATAGGTTTAAACAGCTTCACAAATTTCGGAAATCTCAATCCTATAGTTGGTGCTGTCAGGGTAATCTCACAGAGTGGCGAGTATTGCCTCCAAAAAAAACAGCTCAACGCCTTTATACTCCGGGACCTGGCGTTCCTATGAATTTTTAAACCTCCGATATAAACCTGATTTAATTTTTTTTCACTTTTCGAACCTACGGCGGTGTGATATGAAGTTACTCACAGAGGTTGCAGATGTGGCCTCTTATTTTGACTGCTCAGATCCTTTCAGTGTTATCAGATCCAATCAGCTACCCATACACCCAACAAGCCATCGCTCTGTTAAGCTATCCTCCCAACGAGCAATCAATCCGTCATGCTATCAGCATATCGATCAAGCCTTTTGTTCATCAAGCGATCCAACCAGCCATTGTGTCAGTTTTTAATTGATTGGCCCATCCATCCAGCCATCCATCCGTCAAGTCATCAATCTATCTAGCCATCCATCTAACCGGCCATCCATCCGTCCAGCCAGCAAGCCAATCATTAATTAATTTGCAAATCTCTGTAGCCATGCATCCAGCAAGCCATCCGTCCAGCCATCCATCAAGCTAACTCATCAAGTGATCCATCCGTCTTGCCATCCTTTCATCAAATCATCCATCTATGTAGCCATCCAAACAGCTATCTATCTATTCATCTATCCGTCTTACCAACCAGTCATCCATTCATCCTTTGAACCATCCATGCTTGCATTCAGCCATCGATCCCTTCATCTAGCAATGCATCCAGCCAGACATCCAGCCATCAAAGCAGCCACCACTCAAGCAATCCATCACTCCAACCAGCCATTCGTTCAACCAGCCATGTATTCGTTCATCAAGAATGTCATCCACGCATTTATCGACCCTGCCGCCTGTCTTGCCCTCCTCAGTACTACCATGAATCCATCCAACCAGCCATTCTACCATCCGTTAATCCTCCGGCAGTCCATCCACACATTCGGCCAGTCCTCCGTCCAGCCGCTCATCATCGATCTAACAATCCATCCATCTAGATATCATTTCGTCCCGCATCCATCCCTCTAGCCATTTATGTATCCCATCAGGCTTTCACTCAGCCGTTCATTTCCATCTAGCCATCAATCCAACCAGCCTTCTCTCCATCCAGCAACCGATCCATTCAGCCATCCATACAACAATTCATCCATGCACCTGGTCATCGATCCATTCATCAGTCATCCCGCCATCACTTCAGCTAGCTTTCCTTTCATCTAGCTATCCATCCAGCCAGTCCTATATCTAGCCAACAACCCATGTGGTCTTTCAACCAGGCAGTCATCCATACATCTAGCCATCCATCCATCCTCTTATCATTTCAGCCATCGATGCATCAAGCCATCCATTCATCCAACCAGGCAGTCTTCGATCCAGCCGTCACTCAAGACATCCATCCTTCCGACTAGCCATCCATGCGCCCATCTATCTATCCATCGTGCCTGC